AGACATTTAGTTTCTGCTGACACAAAATGTAGCTAAATCCTATACTGAAGTTTGTACGATCGTAAGAAGTGTGTATGAATAATTCGCGGTAATAGTAAATTGGGCAAATATTTCTTTTTATGTAAGTTACATAATAATACGAAACATAGTTCCCAAGGAAAATATCGGGCGAAATATTTCAGAAGAAAGTTACTGAAATCTAATGAAATAGCAATCCTGCCATCTCTCGGCAATCACGTGTACTTTGTATTCGGTTATGTTATCTTCCTGAAACAATCCCTAGATGGAACTAGAGGCAAAAATGGTAATATTTAAATCTTTGATTCGCTGGTCCATTTTTCTGTCATAGTTCGATGCCTGCATAATGCATACAGAACTTAGTAGAGCTTAAAACTCAGATGTGATATGTCCTCAAATGAAACGTATTTCCTGAAGTTGTTAAATTCTCATCAACACTACATTTCCCTATATACTGAAGCTGTAAATCTTTATCTTTTCCACGGTGTCTTTTGAACTTTCTGGAATATCTAGCATTAATGTCCTAATGTATGGCAACAGCTTCCTCCCACGTCATTCAGTAGTCTGATGTAAATTAATGTTCTAACTGCTACTCGACTACGTTAACATTTAGCCTGTGATGCAACAGCTGGTTATAGGGAAGAGAGGGGACAACATTGACCTATACTCTTACTATGGAAACCTGTTCCTTCCCACGCCATAGAACTTAGCTCTTTATTTTCCGCATTTGAAGTTAATGTAGTCCAGCAATACTTCAACAGAAGCCACTCTCACTACCTTCCCTTTCACAATTGACGATCATATCTTCCAAAGTTCAGCATCTTTAATCCACAAGTCCTTTCACGGCCTAGGAACAAATACTGAATTATTCTCAGCCGACACATTGCCGTGAAATGAACTAAGAAAGAAATTCGATGTTCATTTACCGCATTCTTATTTAAAGTAAGATTAATTTGGCAAATATTAAAAGTTAGTGAGCTCGTGGGATGAGAAAGAGGAAGAAGACTGCAGCCTTCTGAGATGTGACGACCTCTAACCTGAGAAATATTTCGGAGGAGCGTACTGCCTCCATCGTCAGATGTCTTCTTCCATCTTGATCAAGGAAGCAGTGCGTTCCTCCGAAAAGTCTGTAAACTTCTACCAAAATACACGGCCTCACATCCCAGAAGATAGTTGTCTTCGTAGTCAGCACAGTGAGAACTTCATATCTCAAAAACCGAAAAAAATATCTGGCCAAATTGACTTACCACACAATTTCACATAAGTGGAATAATTTTGCCTTTAACATTTGAAGAGTGTGAAACCTGTTCTCCCCTTTTCTGAGTGAAGAAAGTCACTTACAGGTGCCTTAAAACTAAGTCCAGAGAAAAGAAATTTTGACCTCAATTTGAAGTGATATATTTCAAATATTACATTATTAGGATAAAAAGTCTAAGAAGATTTGAGGTTTTCAAATGAAAATGACTGTGAAGAAAGCAGTCTTATGGGATGTGGCGCCGTGTAGATATTGTGTTAACCGACGTTTCGGAGGAACGTTGGTTAACACAGTATCTAGATGGCCCCACATCCAAGAAGACTGTTCTATTAAAAAATCTAAGAGCTTGGGATTGGCTCGCCACGTGGCTGCTAGGATGGAGGAATACGTAGAAAGTATCCAGATATTTGCGGGTGAAATCTTGTTTAATATATCCTGTCTGGAGGACAGAGTAGAGAGAATGATGACGTTATGATGGCTCCAAGGAAAATGCAGTGTGAGGATGGGAGATGGTTGGAACTGGCCCAGAATTACGTCCAGCCGTCCAGTCCGTAACACGTCACTATACTGATTCAGCTATCTCGGTTCTAAATGCNTTATTGACCTTACTACATGCGAAGTGTTCAGCAGCCTGGAGTACTAAGTGTGAACGTTTGTCTCATGAATGCACCGGTGGAAGACTTCCGGAAAGTAGGTGTTGACAGTTACAAAATACGCAACAGTAATTATATTTGTTCCTAAACAAGAACAGAAGCTCAGCATTACAAACAGTTTCTGAATATTGCCAAATTTCTGCGGAAAAATCTTTCGTGAGTAGTTGAATAAGGATAGGCCTACTCTATAATTTCTTCTACGGGGAAGATAATTACATATTATATTATGAGGCTTGTGAATTTCATGTCTCTAATGCATCTTCCATTATGAAATATAGTCTTCAAGCAAACTTTCATTAAGGAAAATATCTCCTCAGTTACTTATCTCTAAAGAATGTCAACCATTCTGTGATTGTGTTAAGTACTCGGAGTTGAGTTCCGGTGCACGGATTCTGAAAGACAACCCATTTTTTTGCTACCTTAAGTCTCATGAAGTGTTGAAATTGCTTTTCTTTATTTGTACACATGCATCTACAAGTAGTAATGAGCTTGAAAGGACAGGTATTAATCATTCTGGGTATGATTTCAAAAAATCTGCGATGAATTTTTTAAAATTCTATTTATATTGGATCTTCCGTTGCAAATTCGGTTGAATCACATTGGGTAATTCGCTGACAAGACTTCTTTTGATATTCAGATTGTGATCGTCTGTGTTGTAATACCGTAGTCTTGTAGACTGATACTGATTTTCTGGAGCAACGAGATTCATGCATCGTCATGACTTCACAGAAGAAGGAGGCAGTGTATTCTTCCGAAACTTCGATATCAACTTACAACACTGAATGGTTTCATAATCCAGACGGCCAGAATGTGAACACTCGTGGACGTGTAAGCTTCAAAATTCATATCCTTAAACATTCTGTCACTGAAAACATCGCATATTAGATCCATGGAGAGAACTGTGTGCAGGAACACCGCCTTATTGGAAGCAACATAGGGCTTTTGTACTGAGGATGGAGGTGGCTACAGAGATAAAGTAGGTTAGGGATATATCACGCAAGTCATGTTCACCTATCTTGAAAATTTGTAGTTAAATATAAGCGTGTTTATCTTTACACATGTGCGTGGAGACTTTAAGCTCACATTGATAACCTCAAAGCAGACGTCAAATAGTAGACCTGAACTGAAATTTTTGATAATATAAAATAATGGATTTCTTTGTCTAGCAAACAAATTATGCGGACTATGAAGCATGCTGTCTTCTGGGATGTGGCGCTGTGTAGATCTTATGTGAACCGACGTTTCGGAGGAATGCATCGCCTCCATTTTCAAGGTATGAAAAATCAGGAAGCGAGAAACTAGCTTGAGTAGTTGGCTGCAGACTGAGTCACCAGTCGAAAACACCCAGCTATATATATATATATATATATGAGCAGGAAGGAAGAGTGGGTCACATGGAAATCAATAGAGAGGAGAGGGAAAGGTCCGTAGAGATGGGCGAACAGGGA